AGACTTCTCTCATTATCGCAGTGTCCCTTTACCCTATGTCACTACGTATGATTATTTAATGGGCCGCGTTGTAATAGCATTGCAACACTTCTGGCAAAATCACCTAAAATAATCAATACAAAATTATTGAATTCGAGCTGTATTTGGCCTTCGAAGATCAGTCCTGAAGGCTCATTCTCAACAAATTTGCCGGTGTTTACAGCCTATACAACCCTATACAATCTATTGGAAGATCGAACAGTTATCAACGCCTTCAGATGGTCGTCTGAGGATCCATCTGTTCGTGTTACGATTGACTGGAGTTTCAAACTGTGGTTTTAACTTGTACACTAAACATTTTTAAATAGAAAATATATGCCTGAAGGTGAAGTTCTTTTCTTGTGCTCCTAATCTTTTAAAAGAAAAGAAAAGATAAAGCACATGTGTAAAAAACACGAGTTTTGTGTGAAATCTGTAAGGCAACATACCATCATAACTCTGAGTAGCACTTGAAAGAAGGCAATTAATTTGAATTTTTTCTTTAATATACTGATGGTATAAACACAAAATATCAATTTAATTGTACTAAGTAACTTAAGAGCAACCGAGTTCCGAAAGTAACTTAAGAGCAACTGCTGGACTGCACCTTCTAATGCAGCAACAATTTATATGTGGTACGTATGTATAAACGAGAAATTAAATTTCTTTATATTAGTAAGATTACAGCACCCGAAAAGTGCAGTCTCGTAATGCTACACTGCTGAACCTCGTTTATCAGCTAAATATACCAATAACCCATAAAAATAAACAAGGGCCGAAATTAAAATATTGCATAACCCAGCTTTCTGTAAATGAAAACTTGATTACCTGCGAAGGCAAGAGCACACACGCTAGCGATACGCACGCATGCCTGCACATTTTACTTTCATATTATACGTTACAACGTAGTTTTCAAAAATAGATTGCCATAATTTTTTGACCCGAAATGCTCGCTATTGTCTGCGCTGCAAAAAGGCTTCGATCATACGATCAACCCAATAGCGCGAATACCTTGAGCCTTGTAATGCTGCGGAAAGTAATCTTCTCGTGCTCAACTCACGGTGCCCATCCAACAGCGAAGTTGTCATTGCAATAAGCATGATGGAAACGTAGGCACGCAATAAAGTTGTTACGTATTTATCGTACAATTATATATTATGATTACATAAGTGGTTGTTTATCTAGACGCCTTTGTGATCTGACTATTGTCACCATTGAAACTGCTGTTATTTATGCTGCAGCAGTTGCTAGTGACGTCCACTAATCGCTGCCAGTCGCCATATTATCCCCACGCAGCGAACATCCCTACCTCAGAACATCAGCGGCCACATATAACAGCAGCAAACACCGTCATTTTTTATCCTCACGGAAGAGTGATTGCGTTTCTGTGTTTGTCCTCTCCTGTGACGTCATGGAAAAGCCCTTTTCAACACGGACGCAAACAAGCTGAAGTGGTTCGACTTACTCTTGCTTCTTAGGGTAAGCGGCCTCGTTTGTCAACGCAGCTACAGAAGGAACATCAAAGCTTGTATAGTGCGTCACAGCGTTGTACAGAGCAAGACAGCGAAGGCAAGGACAAACGACAACCACTAAGCTAAAGATGTATAAAGGGCGCAAAATAGAAGGCGGAAATATCTCGTGACGTGTAAAAGCAACAATTAAATGACAGTCGGAATGAAATACTTTGATACTAATCAGGCAGGTATCTGATTACCAGGTGGAGTTCACGCAAACATCGTGTCGTCGTCGACGCAAAGAAAAAACACGCAGTGCCAAGAACACTACCAAGACGTGATCAGTTTATAAATTCAGCAATTATAAAAACATTTGAGAACTCTAGCAAAGCCTATTATTGGGTGCATCCATGCCTCTATTGAGAGGCTTGGATGCACGCAATAAATTGGTTGCATCAGCTTAAAGAACAGCTAGGTTTTACCGCGAGAAGGTTTACGGTACGTACAAGTCTACAATTGAGAAAAAGAGAAAAACAAACAATAATGCAGATCCTAAAGACTGTTTTTTCCAAACACAAAATAACATTAGGCGTTATTGTGAGTTAGAATATCGTACATGCCATACCCCGTATTATTACATATGGGACTACGATGTTTATTCGTACATATGTAAGATGAGGAGACATACTGCTCGTATTTCTGTACATTTCTTTTTTACGAGGCACAATGGGCTAACAAGTGTTTGACGTATTCCTAACTTTCTAATAATAATTCTTTTGGAAGCTTTAAAGAAAAAACGACAATAAATTGACCCAAGGAAAACTCATCGAGTTTCCTTGACGTTTGTCCGAAGTGGCCTGTTCCAACTTATTGGTTACTGACAATTCTCTCTTTGTTACGCAGATATGAAAACTGATATTCACAGAGAGAGTACCAGCAATGTTGGTGTATCAGTTCCGAAAATATATGAGTTGCAATAAAGGATTCTGGTCGCTTCTGCTTCGCCGATAGTGGTGATATTGCGTTTATTTTTTTTCTGTGACATGTACGCCTGTGGGTACGTGCTTCTAGTGCAGCGATTGGTCAGCAGCTGAGAAGTCAATGATCTGGTCTTTTATAGCAAGTGCCACCGTATGTGATACTATGTATCAAGTTTAAGCATAAATTAGTACTAGTATACGCTTCAAGTGGACATTTTGATGTCAATATGATGCAAGTAAATGGCTGTCTATTTAATAAGTTGTGCTTACATGCAAACAACTTTGCACATCTAGTCGTGGTCACGCCAAGTTATACCAATCACCCTTATTATTTAAATTCCTTTAAAAAAATTGTCATAAGAGACTTTTGCTTTCTTACAGAAATTCCACCCCATCACTTATCTTAGGCTAAAATTTAACTTGTATACTGTCGAATAAGTCTCATAAGTTTCTCATAATTTCCTTCAACATTTATACTACATAATCGCATTCACTCGATGTACGGACTGAAAAGTACTTTCAGAACTCCTAAACGAGAACAATACTAATCATGCTGTAATTCATTTCCAGAGACCTCTAGTTTTTTGAACGCTTCTAATTTTCATCCTTTTTAGCTAAAAAGATAAGTGGACATCATGCAAAAGTAAGGTCCCTAAGGGTGTGATGAATAAAAGCATGTTTTCTTTAATTATCTAAGCATAGATGATGCCTCATTAACGCAGGAAACTTGGGATTAAGAGAACTTAAATGCACTTCTACTGCCCCATCCGAATGTTTATTTTGCACTCAGCAGTATACTCATTAGGCTCACTGCATTTGAATACACAGAAACGTCTAACGATTTTAGGATAATGTCGACGAAACACAAGAATAAAATTTAGTGCATTAATAACCTGTAATTTTGCCATGTGCATTTACTACAGATTAGTTGTTTTATTAGTTTAAATCTAGTAAATGCCTATCTAGAATGCATACAAATATGTTTACAAGGTCCTTACAGCTCGGTTTCTAAAAATCTGTGGTTGAAGATGAAGACTTTCTTTACAACACAAAACTACGGGCTAACTTTTATGTAAACTTAAGAGACTATATAAAAAAAATTCCATATGAACTTGGGAGAGTACATAAACATAAAAACTTGCGACAGCAGCCACGTTTACTTTTTTACGTTTTATTTATATTTATTTTAGTTTAAAATTTATTTTAGGAGGGCGTTCTTTTGGCGGAGACCAACAGAATAATTCCCTGAAGCAAGATAAAATCTGTGTTATAGCTTAGATATGTTGTAGCATGGCGATTTCTGTTTAGCTGTTGACTGAGAAGTATACATAGAAAACAATACGCTAAACCACACTATTATGGGGATTTCGCCGCGTAAATCTAAACAACATGAAAGGAAGTATGGAAACAAAAAAGGAACTCAAGTTCACGAATTTCGGTTGTACTTCTGTATGTTTTTTATACATAATGTAATGATATGGCCTTCACTGATGACCTATGCATGGATGCCTTTCTATTATCCATTTTTGTATTATCCATCCAAATATATTGCGGACTTAGCTTTCATCCTTTAACTCGTTGGTTCAGTTAAATATTTAATCGTCGTGTTGGTCCTAGTTGGCTCTGTCTGGTGATTTTGTAAGAGACAACAAAAAAGTAAAACCTATATTCGCAGACGTTTCTTGAATACATATTACCAGTTAATATTGCCCATAAAGATTTGATATATTTTCTGTAACCTGAGAATGTTGGTACAATGGATTTACGAGCATTCACAGCTTTCACTTAAGCCCTTAAAGCTTAAATGAATACTTCGCATATAGAAGCCCGCGAGTTTCGAAATTTCCAGACCATCCTGAATACTATATTTTTATGCGAGCGATTCTGTTGTGCCTGTACTCAATGAAATTGTAATATTGGACTATGAACTGGACGTTCCATGTATAATAGAAGCCCTTATTTATATTTCATTTACCTACAACGTTTATGTACAGTCGTAGTTTATCAAACAGCAACAACAACCACAACAACAAAGATTTACAACATAATTGATAAGGATTACCTTAAGATGGCTGTGATGTAACGTGAACTATAATACACATTGGTATTTATCTACTTGACCAAATCGAAACCCTTTTGTTATAAAGGAAAGCTAAGTCAATGAACCTGGAGCTTTAGATTGGTTATTCGCAGTCGTACAGTTGTTGCTGGCAGCAACACATTAGACTTTTTAGCATTTTTTGCCCTATCAGAGTTGGCTAGGGCTCATGGCTATATATATATATATATATATATATATATATATATATATATATATATATATAGAGGGAGAGAGAGAAAAACCTATAGGAATAAAACAAGATTTCTATTGTAGGATACTTATGCTTTTTCTAATTTTTTTTTTGACAAATTACGATGAACATAATTGATCGTCTTGCAGCTTAACAATCGCTATCGCAACTACTCCAACTTAATTTCATACCTTATCTAATATATTAGCTAGGTACATTTAGAATACCTATGAAGAATAAACACACCATTGGAGATGTTCAGCTTTGGGTTTGACACCGCTTCTGTCATATTATTAACGCCTCGTCATATTTTATCCGATTCACCTACATTTATCCCAGCCCTGTTCCCCCCTCGTAAAATCTGTTTATACCTCTTATATATCTGCACTTCTGATAGTGCTTAAACACGTTCAGCTGTTTTCTGCCTGTTTTATTCTCTTTAGCAAAAGTGTCCCTCGCACCGTCTCGGGACCCTAGTGTTTCTTCGTTTCCACGATGCGAGCACAATATGCGCAGATGGCGATCTCAGAAGGGCGCATCATTTCAGACTGATAATCCAATATTGAATTGGCTAAAAGCGACCCACTGCACTTGTACCGACGAACGATGACGCATCGTAACTTCAACTACGAAAATTAACATCGATTTTCTATGTGCGAACCTGATTCGTGTCGAACAGAAAACCAAATACCTTGTCTTCACTCATTGTTCTAAGAAGTTTTCAGAAGAAACGTAGTATTTGTTCGCAGGACGTCATCATAGTAGGATTGAACATATAAAAAAGCACAGATTCACACACGCATACATATGTATTCACGCAGAATGCCTCTATGCGTTAATACTAATAATCTACGGGCTTAATCTCCGTACACTGCTAATCTTCAAACAAAACCAACCCTATACGATGTTTCTAACGTAACAATGCTATGCTGTTGTTTCTCTTGAGGGGTAGATCGACACGACGTCCTACGAAATCGGAATCAAGCTCAGCTTGGATTACGGCAACTGACACGTGACAACAATGCACACAAGCTACCGGCCACAAGAGCGAAGAATCAATAGCTAATCTAAAACCTGTGTGATTTTTCAACAGAAGAATAGCTGTATAGATTCACGTCCTGACAAGTATGCTCTATCTTTCTACTAATGTGTTTTTATTTTCGTTTGTCTGTTTCTCTTTACCTCTCTCCCTTTCTCTCTCGCCTTCTCTTTTGAGCCTATGTACGTTTTTGAAATAAATTTTCATAATACAGTCAAAGTGACCCATTCACCATTGCCGTCGTCATTATTATTAATATTATTCATCGTTTCCATGTTCATTGTTCTGCTGCGTGTGACATACGACTGACTTCTCTGCCCAAAAGATGACCACTAGCTACATACGCGTTCACACACATATTATAGCACAGCAGCACTGAATGCAGCGATAACAGCCGCATTCATTAGCCACGTAAAATTACAAACAGTTGTTCACTTTTACAGATACATAGATATATATTTAGTGTCCCTGTATGACTAGGCCAAGGCACATGTTCCGGGAACCTTGATCGGGGGGATGTCGTAGTTCTCCTGGTCGTCATAAACAACCGACGCAACTGCGTCTTCGGGCGGACATCAAGCAAGGTGCATAATGGCTCCTTCATGATGGTTTTGAGAGCCCATCACACTCTGTATTTCTAAGGGCTCAACAGCATCCTCTGGTGACAACACCATTAACTGCTTCTTCAGATAGCGTTTCATTGTATCCATCAATACCTGTAAATAAAGAAAGACACCAAATATTGATTCTGTTATATTTACGCAGGAAGAGATAGACAGAATTTCGGCAAACGAAAAAGTGGATTTTTTGTCGGTTACAGTTCACTACTATCTAGCTAAGCTAGCTCTATTAGTAGCTTAAACCACAACCGCAAGGCAATGTTCAAGACAAAAAAGTCATTGTCCGTAAATAAAAAAACTGCTTCGTAACGTATTTGCCGTTTCACAAAAAAAGCTTCTAGCATAACATTCTTCTGTGCATAGTCATTTGTCGTAAGTACCTGCTTCAAGTTTTCACATTATCCGGAGACAGAATCTTTGTAACTCACCTGATCAACCATGCTCCAGTCTTCCTTGTTAATGAAGCCAAGCTGAACTAGGTCTTGCGTAAGGGTTTGCACCTCATCGGGCGTTGTCAAATTTGTCGAGAGTTGTCGATTCATTTTGTCATCGAAACGAAGCAAAAGTGTCAGCACCTGTTGAACGTTTACATACGTTAAATTTCGATAACAAAGTATTAACTTCATTGTAAAATGTCTCCTTAATTGAAGATACCAAAGTAGCTAATATTTATGTCAATGCCCTCTGAGAAGCGCTTCCTATATGGTAGGCAAACTGAAAACCTAATTTACACTAGCGTTTCTTAAATCCTGAAGACAGTAGTGTGAACAAACGTTTACTTTAATTAGATACTTTGAGAATTATTTCACTATTCCCTTTTTTTTGGATTGAGCCAGGGGTTTTGCAAACGAGTTCTTTATTAACGCTACCATGGAATGCGAAGGCTGAGCTGTCGGCACTGGCACAGCGCCTGCTGCGCTGGGCGTTGGTATAACTTCCTCCTCCTGTGATTGATAGAAACAAGTCGCAAACACAAATCGTGAATCTAGTACTTATTCTGTGATCATTGACCTAGTTACACGCGCATACAAGCATACAGACACACACATACGAGTGCGAGTTACCTAAGCAAAACGGAGGTTTTTACGGTCCACTTCATTTCAAACGGTGACTGATTTAAACGATGAAATCTTTTGACAAATAGGTGATGACTTACTGGGAGGCGATATAATTTGTTTCTCCAGTCCACCAGATGCGAGCACATTATACAACAAATGGATACCACGATAGTGATGCACGGTGGGCAATTTAATAAAAAAAAAATAAACGGCACAGAAATGCTGTGTCAGTACGTGTTTACATCTGCATATGTGTAAATGCAGTAAAGATGAATAGCTACGACTTTCAACTTGATAACAGACATTGCAAGCTATAATCATTATTATGTTATCGTACCTGTTTAATTGTACACATGATGTTTACGATGTGCCGCGTTTCCGGGTCGTATCCTGCGGGACTGGGGCTAGTTTTACTCTCGAGAACCTCAGGAGTGCGGGGCCGAACTCCAAAGCCACGTGATACAGGATTTGGTCCCCGGCCAAATGCTGTGCGATGTAAAAAGCAATATAAAGCATTACATGCACATGTAAACTGCGGTGAAATGCAAAACCGTATTGTAAGCATATCTAATTATGGATTAGTTAAATACGCTGTTAACTATAGAATTTAACGGATATACAGCGGTAGTTAATTCTAAACTACCGCTGTATATCTTTCAAGAGCTATGTCAAGAGAACAAAAGTCTTATATTATCTACCTGTTAAAGGGTAGATGCCATTTCGAACATCCTCTAGCAGCTTTTCCAGCTCAAGAGCGGGTACTTGTTTCTTCTTGATTGCCACACCTTCTCGGCCGTCTTCGTGGGTAATCTCAGCGACAACATCGACTTGCGAGCACCTCAGATGCATCGCTTTATCCGTAAGTTGATCGGGCTGATACCATGAACTTTGCACAATTGCATGGGCCGAAAGCACTAAGGCATTACACATATATACGCAGGTGTATGTTAATCAATGGCAATAGAATGCGAGGGTCTAAGCTCAACCAGCGTGAAAGATAATTAGAAGTTCTCACTTTTGATTTCATTCATAAGATGGTAACATATGTACATTTTTTACAAAAAGCATTGTTATTGGAACTACTTCCTATTTATTCAACATGGTTCGCTCCACAGCACTCATTTCAAAATAAACACTGTGTGCATTCAAAAAAATCATAAAAACTTTAGTTAAACCAACTACAAAGATGTTTTGCCGCAATCGATGACTTCCAAGCAGACAGTATATGTCATATATAACGTATTTAAGATCAAGGTAAAGAATGATAAGGGTAACACACACCTTGCAACGAATAGATCTCAAAGAGAACGGGATGAAACAGAAGTTCTCTGGTCGTCGGTCTTAGTCGAGGCAATTTGTTTAAACATCTGTAATCAAATCGTTATACTTCTAATGTCGCACGCGGGTAGAGTAAGTGTATTTGACGATCTCGTTCATTAAGGGTTACGGACCGTGACATCTTAATAATTAGTGTCAATTCATTACTTATTATACCTAAAATATCGGTCTACATAGCCTATAATATTATATTCCTTTTTCGCATTTCTTGAAGACTGAAATCTAGGAAATGTATTACAATTAAAAAAGTAGTTTGATGTATGAACTAAAACTGGCCCGCTTCAGTCCTTTATGCCTGACGCCAGTACGTCCGGTATCGCCATCAGGCGTTCCATCAGACAGCTGGCTCTGAGCACGAAACGGAGCCTGTCGATGCCCGGGTTTAACACAGACCATAACGTATCCCTAAGATTAGCATGCAGATACATTATCCACTGAGCCATCGTGGGGACGGCCCACTTCTATCGAGGTGGAATCAAGCCCATATTAGTACCTTTTAATGAGGTCCCTCTGCTGATCATTTTCAAGTTGTTCAATGGTCTTTTGAATAGCCTCGTCCGTAATAATTTCTGAAGTACCATTGTTCTGAATTTCCAGAGCCGCCATTTCAAGAGCGCACATTCCAAATGAGTAGACGTCGGCTGCAGGCGTTATTAATGAGAATACCGTTTTGGCTGCATACTCGGGTGCGACAAAATGTACATTATCAAGATGCTGCGTCGTACGAACCTGTCAAAACAGACAACGGATGAAGCACAACAGGAAGTTAATATTTGTCTGAAACATATTAAGCTGTATAGACTTAATATCTCCATGATCATTTAGTGCTTGTGAGGGCTTGTCGATGAGCAATGTGCCTTACAATAAATATATAAACTGTAATAATTAACAATAAACAAATAAAACCGTATAGTGGTTACCGTTTTCACATGCATATTGATGGCATCGGGTGCGACGGACCCTATTTTAATAAGGCCGTTATGTTGGATGAAGATCGTATCACAGGTCAGGTTGCCGTGCAAGATTGGGGGATGACACGAATGCAGATAGTAGAGCGCCGACAGAATTTGGCGACACCAGCGTTTCCATGAATTCAGTGTTACCTGGTAACCCTGTTAAAAGTTGTCAAAGGGCCCTATAAAAGGTCATGGCCTATTTCTGACTTACCTAAAAACAAATCAGTGTAACACCCTTTTTGATGCACTGATTTTCTCTTGAATATGAGGAATCGAAACCTCACGTCACTCATAATCTAATCTTGTTATTGCTAAAGCTGTCAAAAAATACGTATATCAGACGACAAGAACTATGCCAATTGCACTATACGAATGAGCATAGTTCCTGCAGTCCTATCGATTTGCTTCACTATTGTATGCCGAGTGACCAGCTTATTGGGGTAAGGTAGATAGATTCTCTTTCTCGTTCAATGGAAAATCTATGCAGCACTGTAATGTACCACGTTCTTACGTATATTGCCGTTAAATTTTACCTTTATTGCGTTTCGTTTCGTTCGTTTAAGAAATTGCTTCACAGAGCCCGAGCTCATATATTCCGTAATGAAAATGACCCGAGGTGGCCCCTCTTTATGATCATCGATCCAATAATTGTGAATCTGTAAAACATAGAAATTCGTTTAACCAGTTGTTGATGCAGTCCTGTAACTCATTCACACAAAAGCATACACCTGAGTATTACTACTGATAACACTTCAATTATAGCAGCGCAGGTCAGCCCCATGAACATTTCTAATAAGTTTATGATAACTGAGATATGCAATTAACATTGACATTAGTTTAATACAAATAACGGATTAATGTTATGAAGAGAAAAAATGCCCGCTGCTACCTTGACGATATTAGGATGTGATAGTTGTGCCAGGGAATCAAATGTTAATTTAATTTTCTCCTCCATCGCCTTAAAGTTCTTCCGTTCGCTGAAGTTGACTTCGTTCCATACGACCTGCAATTAAATAACATTTTAGTCATCCTTATGAGGATTCGCTACACTGTTCGTCTAACTACTCGCAGAATTCAAACGTTTTTGTTTTGCTTCTTCAGCGCCTTCGACGGCTCATGTTATATGAATAAGTCTTCGAAATATAGCGTTCAGAACCTGTTTTCACTAGAAAGCCTAGCCGCGGTGGGTCTTGCTGGACAATTTGTTTGACCAATCTTCGAAATGGCATGGTAACCATATGTGACGGTAACTTTTTTCTAACGCTGAAATTTTAACCGAAAATCTCTGCACACTAATAACTACCCTAGCAACGGACATAAAACGATACGCATTAGGCACCCAGACCACGGCATTGAAAATACATGGAAATATATGTATCGGGAAAATATTCCTCATGTTGTGGGTTGCACTATGAACAAGATCACTTTAATAACATCACGTTACAACACTGCTGTGTACAGTGTTGTTTCGGGCAGTTTCAGCCCTTATCGACACGCCTGCGTTCCTCACTCTTAACTTTGTTCTTCTTTTAGCACTGTGTTAAAAGGTTGCCATTTGACTCAATTGAGGAAGCGCTACGTAGCCCGTTACACCTTGAAAATTTACCGCTTCACGTATGTATCCACAACAGATTCACCTGCTTTCACAGTATATCTTATCCTATTGATGTTGTTGGAAGAAGCTTTGTTCTATTTTTTCAACACTTATTAGGTCATTTTTTAAATATAATACCGGCTTATAGTCTTTACATGAAAAATACCCTGCTACGCTTAATCCGGTTAGCTTTTTAACAGGAAGTAGTTCAGAAACCCATACCTCGACACCTTCCTCAGTGTCCATTGCAAGGTAGGCGGCATCGATGCCTGGAATGTCTCGCTGCTGAACCTCTTCGCGCCGTTTATGCCACCGCCCACATGGAGACTCCTCTAAAACCTGCAGAAATTATTATTATGATTGACAGTGTTTGCTTGCTACAGAGTTGAATCGAAATAATATCTTTTGAGTTCAATACAAGTACGCATTGGAACAACACACATTTTTTACAAAAATTACATACTAGCTTGAATCGTAAAAATATGATTTTAGTGATGTGGTACTGATATATGACTTCCTGTAAATCCGATTATAGAATCGATAAAAATCAGAATGAAATTTATGAATTTGTGAAAATAAATGGGTTTATGCTTCAGGATAAAAAAATGCATAGCTACATTATATTTGTTTATTCTCGCTCACTGTCTGTTAAGAGCGAGCGGCACCAACATGTGCACTTCTTGCTCCTAAAATCTTAATGTTGGCACTGATAGCTCTACAAAGCTAAAATTGTCAACTTTGTACAATTATATCTAGATCCCGCCGTAAAAAAATATTTTACGCTTTACGCGGTGTCATAGTGAACGTTGAAGTTTCAACTCTCATGACTCTTTGACGGACTAACTGTTTGTTAATCATTTCAATAAGTATAGATTGTGGATTGCACATTTTTTCAATTCAACTTAATGTATGTGTAAGAGATTTGCAATATAAACACAAATACGGTCCAAGGCTGTGAGCGTAGCAAATAAAATTATACTATGCGATGTTTTACCAGGAGCCCAAGCAAATTTGTAAGCATTAAGAAGTACTCTGACGGTCGTCCTTCAGTAGACACTGTTATCCGATCAGCATTTGCGCTATCTGCAAACTCAGTCTTAGCAAAAAGTGACTAACCATTTCAATCAAATTATGTTAGAGCTCTTGACTTGGGTAACTTCGAGATGTTAACATTATAATAGGATTTTCGGACCTGTATTCTCATGCAGATTTTTCATGTAACTCCAATGACTTTCAGATTCAGTGTTGTCATTTAAGGGGCACAAAGGCCTTGTTCATTCAAAGCAGGACTACAAGTGCTTCGACTGAGTTAAAAACTAATTCAAATCGTTTTCTTAATGCCTTCTTGCCTTTCTTGTGAGCTCTGCACAAGAGCTCAAATTCACTGACTGTTAACTGAGGATGATGTATTGATAACACTTAGCATAAAAAATAAAATTATCGATAATTTGCTGCGTCTAAGCAACTTCGAATTGGCGACCCCTCATGAAATAAAAATTTTACTTAAGTATAAGTCGTCGTAACGCATAAATCTTGTCTAATTTACTATTTGATATGGTAACACCGATATCTGATCATTTCACATGTTCCTTATAGTTACTTACTACAATAGCGATTTCGAAAAGCGCACTTTCTCAGTCATAATAACTTGTTATAGATTAAGCATACTCATTGGCTCACTATAGCAAAAATCTAGTAATTTTGGTTTTTCCCAAACAAATAATTTTCAGGCCATTGTTCCTAGTTGCAGAGCACAATGACGGTTCATACGAGCAGGTTTCCGGTACAATTAGACTACTAACGTAGGTAAGACCAAAATAGAGAGGATCAAAACGCGTACGCACCTCGCTTTCATCCTCTGAATCGTCGCCCGAGACACGTCGCTCCTCGGCGTCTTTTTTCTCTTCGGTAGCCATCGCAATAAGTAACACTCAGCACAGTTTGTTCCGTATAACTACACACCATACAATGACGGCACTTAGAACACAGTAGTGCAATTCCTCACTAGCAGTATCGATAAAACACGAGCGTATAAACGCTATGTTAGAAGATCCCAATTGGAAGACACCGGGCTTAGTGGAATCAGTAGACCTTATGCGGTAAATCCCCGGACTAACGCGATAACAAGGTATGTAGTGCCGCTTATTTGTCCGCTTGTAAGCGCTACTTATTTGTTGCGTTTCTATTATGATGACATTTCGAAACATCCGTACTAGAACAGATATTGAAATCGTGATGGATGAGAACTTTACCGTATCAGACCACTGAGCCACTCGAAATACACGACACGGTTCAAGGACATAATGATGACGACAATGGTGTTTATTAAAGTGGGGGTGTGTGTGTGTGTGTCTGTAACCCGTAACTTCGTCCTGGAATTTTACTCCTCCTTGTTACCCCCTTCGCGCTTGTGTTAGCCTCTGACTACTCAGCGTGACTCAAAGCGGCTAAATCGGCACGAGATTAATTGATGAGTTGTCACCAGACAAGCCGCGCCCTAAATTGTGACCGGCGCACGGGTTAGGGCCGCCGTAGCCCCAGGCCAACAATTATCGGCAAACAAGACACTCTTGTGAGTGCTTCTAACGATGTCTACCTTACCGTAATAGCGGTAGGATAGTTACAATATCAAGTTATTTTGTCGTCGTCAGTGCCGCTGTTCAAAATCGCCTTCTCTGTCCTGCCCACAGCGGTAGCTTCCGTAACCACTGCGAAATGGTATCACTGCAGCAACAGCGGCAGTGGCTAATCAGATGCGCATATAGCATAGTGATGCTGTTGGTCCTGACAACAACAACCAGCAAATAAAACAAGACGCCGAAAAAAACATTATCAACAGGCTTGTTGTTGTGGTATGATCGCGGTGGTAGCGGCGCTCGGATGTCGACGGATGTCGGAAGCAGTGAGCTGAACGCGTACGCGCTTCGTTCGCACTCAGTTGCTTCCCTCTCAAACGAATAGTGAATAAACCCCACACAAAACGGCAGCTAACATATACAATGCTGCCAAGTAAGCCAGTAAGGCATACAGGCGATACACTGACGGGACAGACACACAATCAGATAAACAAACAGAAGCACACTCTACTAGAAACGCACTAATAACAGTGCTTGTGGTAGCAAAACGACGGACTATGCGTTTCCGAAATAGTATAATCGACGGTATATATACTCGACTATGGTCGACCGTCAGTGTCGCCGCTTTAATGATAGCTCACTCGGGTGGATGTCTACTTAATCCACGTTATCGCGATGATCGGGCTGGTTGACGGTCCCCCGTTCATCACGGTCAACGGGCTCCGATTGCGCTCTGTTCTAGCCGCTTGTTGGGTGTATCCCGCATACAACGCATCGCCATCGAAACAATCCCACACACGTTCAATACAAGAGATATTTTGGCCTCTTTTCTTTCTAGAACAACGAGCGAAATCGAACAAAACATCAGAAGCTGGCAGGTATAGGCAAAGGCCCTCAGTGCGCGTGCCACGAGAAGAGAGACAGAGAACTCAGTGGCCTAGTCGGAAGGGTATGAAAAATGACACTCCCGACGTAGAGACTGGGACTGGAAATAGGCGAGCAAATGTAGTGGTATAGAGCTCGAAACAATCTAAAGAAGTTACACTGAGAACAAATCTTCGCAGACAGATCAACGCAACGTACACAACACCCGCCGTTTCTCTCATCAGCTGATAGGGTCTATCGGAACATTTGAAGCAGATAGGCGCCGAACTATTTAACATTCGTTTTTATCTGAACGCCTTTCGCACGGTCGGTTCAACGCGCTCAATGCTATTAAGTATATGACGGGGGAAAAAATGTACTGAGTGCGCCCTGCTCTAATTTCTAGGAGGTATACAGTATCGAAAAAACTGACTTAGAGTTGCCTACAAGTGTGCATCACTCTGAGGTCTATTTGATAGAAAGACATTTAGACTTGAGGGGATCTTAACGCCGCCTATATACTTAGTCAATAATGTAAATGCGTCCGTGATGCGTCGATACAGGACGCATAATGCTCTTAGGACGTTAAAATGAGGAGAGAGAGAGATCCTGCGAAGGAAATAATCTATAGCGATCTATTTAATATCAGTGCCATATTCAGACTCACATCAACTACTGTAGCCAATCTGAAGCAATACGTGAAGTATCTTCATGCTGGATCTTCATGAAGGATTTTATGCCTGTGCACTATGAACAAATGAATTTTAAACAGATTATGTACATAACTGTACATCGCTATTGTAACGCCTCTATGTGATTCGTTTTGCAGTTCAGGAGATTTCTGCTGCGACAGTATTTGTTGCTGAAAGCTTAATGGATAAAATGAAGAACTATTCATATCTCCGCGATGTCTTCCTAAAAATTTACGGTTGTATAGTCATCTACGCATTGGCAGTTTATGAGCTTGTTATGCAATATGTTTGGCTATTTCGATACCGCACCGGTAAGTTTACGCAATTATATAGAAGCTCCTATTAGTTTTTATTAAATTAGTTATGTGGAATTTCCTCATAACTTGCCTATGAAAAAACGAGTTTTCAAGAACCAATGTGTAGTGAAAGCTTAGATTTCTTTTAAACATCTCTATCCCTGAGTAATTGGAATTTAACATACTTTATGTGCTGAAATGTCAGCATGGATAGGGCAGATATTACATTGTATGGTGTTGATTGGTAGGAAGACAGGTTTCCGCAGCTTTTGTTAAATCTGTTAAATTTGTTAAATCCATCTTATGACCAAATTTTGATTTATTCACATGTTAATCATTAATCTACTCAGTGGAATTTAATTTCTGTATATACTGCACAAATAAAGTTCTCAAATTTACTTGATTCCTGTCTAGTTAACATACAACAGGGTATTTGCAACCTTTATGACGCAAATCTATCTGTGGTACTTTTTGAATAGTATTCTCGCCTGCTTTTAGCCTATAATACTAATAATACTGAAGGTACCTGAGATAAGATCTGTAGCCTTTGGTAATGACGTAATACACTATTATCTCAACGAATTAAATGACAAAATACGTTAATAAAATCAACAGCGGGCTTACTGAAGTTTACCATTTACGCAGACGGCATAAATGCAATTTATTAGCCATTCGAAAACAGAATACGTAATCGTCTCAGTTAAACTAGCGAAGATAGTTCAAAAAAAAACATCGTTTCTGTTCTTAAATATGGGCACGATTTTACCCGTGATTCTTCCTTATTCCACTGTGAATTCATTAAACAATTCTAGACAAACTAATAAAAAAAGAAATAACATCATCTCTTTGACGATTACCTTTAATTTTCACCCAGCAAACAATTCTAATTGACAACAAACTATCAAACGCTGTATAACATTCTAGAAAGTCTTGTTAAAATTATTTATTTAAACAGATTTAAAATAATACAATATTTTACAATATAAAGACAGGCGTGGTGTGTTAACCGGTAAAAACTCAAAAGTTTTAGCTTTGTTATAAGTCGTAATAAGTCACCATCGCAAAGATTACTAATAACGTGCCCTCAGTACACCCCAAAAATCTCACTATCGAACATCAGTATGATTTCGATGTGCTAGGTGTAGCCATGGCCAATCGCAGTTTGTAGATATCTAAATGTTTAAGAGGAAATCATTTAAAATACTGCTCTGAGAATAAGCTTTTAGGCCGAATAACTACTAACATTACTTTTTTCTGCTCTATCAGGACTGAGGCTTTTAGCAGAACTATGAAACGGAAGAGTTAGGTACTTCCGTTAAATTCTGTACAGTATTACTGAAACTGAGTGTTTGTTCCTCTACCTACCCAAATTGCCTCCGTGCAGTGATTACTGGCTGGAAGAGAGGATGAGCTGCATGTGGAATTTCACCGAGTATATGGGACAAGTTGTCTGGGATGTACTTTGTTTCTTCTATAGAGCGCAGAGCTAATTTGGACAAGCTGGCCCTCGTTTGATGAAAGATTGTTAAATGTTCACAGCAGCTTTATATCTGAAAGCTGTTCGCTTTTTTCAAGTTCTAAAAAAGCGCATACAAGTACGTTTAAAAAAAAAATATTTTTCGAAGTTTTTCCTCTTTGGGAGTAAAATGGTAACTTTTGCCAGTGTTGAGTATTGATGAAATATGTGGATATGGAAGTCGGAGAGCAAATTAGTTGAAGTAAACAAACGGAATAAGTGCAGTAGGGTGTCAAGATTATAAAAACGTTCTAACAGGAAATAACTGTAACAGAGTAAAAGGTTTTTAATTACCTTGTATAATATATATTGGTGAACTAAAATTTATTTTAGTAGATACTGGTAAATTAAATAAAGTTAAAAATCAATTCAGGTATTTCTTTAATAATTGAGTCAGAAAAACAATAATACCGTCACAACATAACTACAACAGGATATCATTATTAGGTGCAACATCAGTTAAGTTCGTTGATACTAGAATAACCTGTCGGTACAGCAACGCCGAGACTCCAGTATAGTTAGAACATTCTAATAGCATAGTGCAATAACTGTAAAAGTGTAATGCAGTAAATAAAATAGGTTGACTAATGCGGAAGAACTATTGGGTTATTGGAAGTATCGAGCTATAGCTTACATAAAGATAGCTATGATATCAACAAACTAAATTGGTTGACGCGACGAGAAAACGGGCGCTAAATTTTATTACTTAATGAAATCACCGGACGTAATTGATTCATGCAGTCCAACACGTACTAGGAAAGAAGAACTGTACAATATGCCAAATAAAATTGCACCTTTGGAAACATGCGTTTCATCGCGTTCAGCTTAAACGAATGCTGAGCTACAGACGCTTACTAGTAGAAAAAGAGTAATTACGCCAGTCTCAACTAGATGACACGTTCCCTTAAAATGAAACCCTAATTGTACATATGATTGCACAGCGTGGGCTGCGTGCAGGTTCTCGGCTGATCGTTCCCACGTGATCAGCGACCATAGTGCCTACTCCCGTCGCCATGCCAAGTTCCGATGACCCCGATAACGTTGTGTGTGCCCAAGAATAGCAGCTCTCCGAAATAAACGACGCATCGCTTTCTAAGCCGGCTTTGAGCAGCGTTTGCTTTTTCTAGTCGTTAGTAAGCAGTTGTTTCGCGTACTATGTTCGCAGTGATTGACTGCTGCGATATGTGGCATGTTGATGGAGATCTAGAATTAGCCATAGATAGTAAAAGTCATATCACGTATATTATAGAATGTTTCCTTCCATTGGGCTTATTCTAGAACGTGGTTTCACATAGTTACGAACTATTTACGCTGTTCGGGTTGGAGCGTAGTTGACTAAAGCTAACGAAATTATTTTTCGACTGGTTTATAAGGAATCAAGAGTAACATCTCGATAATTTGTTCCTTTAGCAATAATGATCTTTCATACTGGCTGTTATGGCCCTATGGATTAAAAATTTGGGACAAAAGACTATACATAGACGCATCGCTTCTATAGAACCCGCTCTAGTTTGCTTAAGTAACTTTCCGATAAAATATCAATGTGGCAAAAGTTTGCGCGACATTAAACAGCCAGTCTAACTAATATTTTCAAGCGCGAACTACCATGCTCAGTTTTTGAGCTTACGTGGAAGACTCACAGCGTCACAACGAGCCTGCGGAGTGTAAAATAAGCGGTTATAAGAAGCGCTATTTGTCGATCAGGTTTATATGATCTCTGCAGTCACAAAAATTATTTCACAAATTATTTTCAGAGCTAGTGTAATAAAGAAGGTCTATACCGCATTGCCTTGACTTCTTTGTCCGGTAACGTAATTTAAAAAAGTAATTATGCAGTTAGCAACACGAAACGTATCAACTCATTTGCAGGTCTTTTGGATGCACCTGATGACAGTCTGTATTTGCGAGACCAGACACTTCTTATTACCGGCGGAGTGGGGTTGATTGGGCTGGAGGTGACAAAGAAAGCTACAGAGTGCGGCAACTTCGTCATTATATGTAATTAAACTACTTTCGTCTTCTATATTTTGTGCCTGAGGCTAAGGGAACAGTATTCAAGAGAAGTCACTTACATAACACTTGAGTAGTTAATCTATGTTGTTCAAAGTAAAAAATAAAATATTTAATTTTATCATCAGATATATGTATTCACCTATAACCCTTGTAAACTCTTCGCAAATGCCTAGGACACTTCTGAGAGCTAACTTAAAAACCACATAAGATAATCATTGTTCTCATTGAGCAATAAGGAGACTTCGAGCATAATTGTAGGCTATAGTTCTAACGAAAATTTTTGTTTATTTCTTATCCTATCAGTTGACATCTTATCACAAAGTGAAGCCTTAAAGAAATTATCTGCGCTTGGACCTGTGAACAAAGGTTTGTCTCTATACTCGTATTTGACATGTTACTTATTCGTGTAAATGCACAATTCGTCTTTTAAAAATCCAAATGATCATTTAGATACAAGAATTTTAAATGAAAATGAGAAATAAAGCCTGTAGTTCAACGTACACATCATAAACACGTACTCGAGAAGTCACATTTGTTTATTATATATGTTTGGGTTAAAATTAGTGTCGTTTGTTTTAAAACTGCATATAAATTAAACCATATCTTTGGGTATTTTTTTGCCCATAGAAATATTCCTCACAAATATTCTTATTCAATGTAACTTCCGTTTTTTGCGAATAATTTTCAAGAATTCTGCGAGTAACCATGAGTAAAGTAATATTAGTTCATGCAGATTTGCTGAAGTTTCTATGAAATACCTAAAGTAAAAGAACATTCGAATTTACATTTGGACTAATGGTAGATCAAAAATCGAAAACATTCATAAACCCAAAAAGTGTATAGCAGCAAAAAAAGTCCATTGATGAAAGTAGAAAAACCAAATGAAGATAGAAACTCGAGCCTTGAAAAGAGTCTGTCACTTTGGATGACAATTATGCTATGATCAGGAATGACCTTTCATGTATATGTGTTTTAAGTTATATTAAATAATTATGATTTTGGTTCCTACAAAGCCTTTCGCAGACCCACTGAACGCCGCATAAAGGCTGGCAGCAGCGTAAGACATCGATCTCTAATCCCGATGAGCGTTTGTGCGGCGCGAACATATTGGATAAAACTTCATTTTCACTCATATTCTCAACAAAAGCTCGTTACGGTCTCCACATGGCATCCTCCATAAGAAATTTGCGGTTTTATTTTAGAATAGAGAACAAGTGTATGCTTGTGACAAAAAATAGCGAGCCAGTCGATTTCGTTAATCATATCAGTTTGTGTACGTTGGCGGCATATATATATACTGTAGATACTAATATCTTTGTTGCACCTTTCAGTTCGTTATTATGAGGTTGACCTTTGCAGATTAGATGACGTCAAATTAATATGCGCACGGCTGATTCAAGAAAAATGTATCCCAAATGTTCTTCTGTTCAACGGTAATGCCAAAAGATACATCTGCTCCATGCAGCGTCGTATTATCATTCTTATGTCAGCTACTATGTTAACTGTCTTCATTATGTAAAGAAGGCTCCTAAAGTTTTTCAAAAAGTATAGTAGATGAAAATACTGTTACCTTGTATCAGGTGTCAAACATTCTAGTCAATTTAATTTTTGACAAGGATATTTAAAATTGTGCTATGGACAAGTCTGTTTATAGATGTTTGGCAATTATGACTTATTCGGCAAATATTTGTAAGTAATTATAGTTAATGGTTTGTCAGTCCTAAGAATCTATTGTAGTATATTGTAAAAATTTGAAGGTCTAATCTCAGGTTTGGCTACCTTATTGTTCTAGCTGGCATCATGCACGCCCCATACCAACTGTATGGAGGTATTGAATCCCAACTGCTAGTCTCATATCTGTCGCACTGCCTGATATTATCAGAGCTCTATCCGTATTTGTGCCCGTCCACGAGAGTAGTCTTCGTCAGCTCAGTGTGCCATAAGCCAGGATTCGTTCAGCTGGATGATCTCAACGGAAGGTATGTATAAATTGGTTAAATGACATACGTGCTCTATTACGTATAGCTGCAGTTGATAATCCATGTGCAAGTGATAAAACATAATAAAATGTAATAAAACAAAACATTGCCGTGGCGATTGTTACGGCCTGAGTCGTAGTTCGAAATATTATTATTTAGTTAATCTTAACCCGAGATATAATACATAAAAGTACAACTACGTGGTCCACTGTTGTCATGGTTAACATGACATCATTGTAATTTCAAATCGATAACGTGGTTTCATAGTATTAAATATCCAATCTGTATCAAACAAACATGTATGTTCCATGGTACAAATCACCTGATTGCTCTGTCTGAGACCTAACTGTGACCATTTTGTAGGTTTGGCTATTCGTCGCACCTGTGGTATGCCCAAGCGAAGATGTGCCAACTACTACTGGTGGTATATCTGGCTGCGAAAACGCGTCTTCACGTGAATGCTGTTCATCCTGGCGTTGTTGAAAGTTCGCTGTACAAGCATGTGCTTCTTCGATATATTCTTGGGCCATTGTGTATCATGGTATGCGTTCCTTATACCAGGCAAATGTGTGTCTGCTTTTTGTAATCTTATATATATATATATATATCCCCTCCGGCTTGTCTTAAAAAGAACAATATTTTGCTGGCATCGTGAAGTAGACCTTGAAATGGAAATAGCTTGCTATGGTATCGCTACGTTAAACGGGAAATAGAATCATTCTTTCCAATAAACAAGATCACTCGAAGTAATTGGGAGCTTAGATCAAGGTAATATGATGAATGAACTCAGTGGTTATGGTGGAAGAGAGTGATGTTTCCTTAGAATTTAGGCTTCAGAAATCATGTGACGAACCGTTTGCTCGAACGCAGAGCACGTTCGTATTTATTAAGTCGAGTTGCTAATGGTACTCGACTAAAATATATAGAAACAGCCATTAAGTCAATCGTTTTTTTCAATTTATTTTCAGACGGGCGCTGAAGGTGCATTTTGCCCCACATTCGCATGTCTTAGCAGTAAGATGAGGGGCGTACGAGGTAAATACCTCGAGTTCTGTCGCCCCGCCAACCCGAACCGGTTGGTGTACGACCGAATAGTGCAGGAGAAGCTCTTTGAAAAAACAGCCGAAATGTTGAAACCGTACACCGATTTTAGGAAGCTTGTACATCCACAGTAGTGGCAGTATAGAGCGTCTTAATGAAAAGGCTCATTATTTGATTTATAACGCTGAGATAACATTGCGAAAGGAACTATAGTACTGGGGTACCTCATTAGGAAGCTTATTGCCATGTATAGAGAGTGCTTAAGCGTAATTGAGGTGAGGCGAAGTGAGCATTTGTTTTATATATAGATATATTTGTGGTGCTTATTATGACTGATGTTCGAAACGTGCATTTGCAAATGTTGTCTACGCTACTCCGCTGTCTTAAGTGAAATACGCTTGCAGCAAGGTAAAGATGATGAATAGCCAGTGAATGACCTATGGGATAATGTAGCAAGAATTGTAGTTGCTTGAATTGCTAATCTTATAATTGCCAAACCTTTGTAAAAAAAATAAATAGTTTTGTTAAATTACATTACTACATATCATAGAATTAATAGCTATCGAAACCGTAGCGCGTGAGTAATAATTACATCATGTCAAACGCTCAGGCAACTAAAAACATCGCATTGCTAGAAATATTTAGAAGCCAGACATGCCGTCTATGCCGATGTAAAGTTTCTCTTACACTGATTTCTATCTAAGGGCATGTAAAATTTATTTTCTAATCAATGATAACAAGAGCTGCTTGTAACGACTAACTAGAGTCTTGTTCGGGGTAATGACAACTTAACTAAATACACCACCTGACTGACTCGACCTACGATCCAAGACTTTACAGCTTTATTTACACTTTTGTAAAGTCGATACTATTTCGAGCAGACGCTATGCCAGAATTATGCCTAGTAAGGAGACCAGGTTAATTTAAGTACACTATTTAGTTAAAAAAAAAAACTGTACGATTTTTCAAATCTACTTGACCCGTCACTCGGGGATTCTGGTTGTTATCGGTAAATATAACAGTAAATTATTACGCTTGATCCACACAGCGAGTTAGCTGTATCTGTATGAAAGCAAATGAGATCGCAGTGAACAACATTCCGGCAAACGCTTACTTCCTTGCAGTTTCCTGAGTATCATATTGAGATGTGTTATGTAATCATTGATAATTTAAGGGCTAGGACATGTAGACTATTAATGAATACGGTACTGTAGTACAATACAACTGCAATTGATAGATATTTACACATATTTTAGATAAGCAATTTTACTTGTCGTAATCCACATACCTGTGTAAATTTACAAATATGCAAAGATGTATGTATAAGAATAAATACAATTCCGATTAGTCCTAGCGTCGTTTTCAATAAATGGTCTTTTTATTCCATGACGAATGAAGTAACTTAGTTGGTATTTTTCACGCTGTGCGTAAGTGATGTCGTCTATATATTCTTTCTAGACATGTTTACATATTCTGTCTACATGTTACAGTGCATTTACAAAGATTAGCTTGACATCGAAAAGTAAATGTTGTCATTATTTGAGAAAGCTAGGTAACGTGACTTTGATTAGAGTTTTGGTGAATGCTCATAAAGGCTTAAAAACTTACTTAGATCAAATTATAATTTACATCAGTAGATGGCTAAGCCATTGTATATTTCTATGCCTCTTTAATTCAACTTTGTTATGACAGATTATATTTAACGATGAAGCGTTTGCTCATAAAGTAAGATAATTATTTGTCATAGATAAACAGCAGAAGGGCAAGCGCTGTTTAGAAGTAGGCGGTGTTACACAACTGCCACGACTGGATGCAAAATACAACGGCGAGTACTAACCTATTATTTCAGTAGTGAATTTGCTATAAGTATTTTGAACTTTACGTTTAGTAGCACCGTTAACAATTGCTTCAGAAGGCTAGTTCTTGGCACAAAATAAACCTCGTGTATGTTCGGTTTTAAACCTAAATCAGCTCACGTGTCCTAAAGATTACTAGGCAAACACATTATCATTAAACGATCATGAGGTGTGCCAATCGGAAATGATAGAAGGGTCTGCAAAGAGTCTTCCAGTTAACGTCCAACTTTAAGGCCAATATAAAATAGTAATGATCAACCCTTCTCCATCTTCTTCTGCATCTACCTCTCATAGGATATTCGCAGTTTTAATCTTTTCAATCCCAACATAATAGATATCTAGCTTTCTCGCCCAGTCTCTTTTAAATGTTTCGTTCGAGTGAGTGAGAGCCGGTTGTTGAAACACCGTCAATCTGTTTATAATAATAGAAGCAAATCTTCTGAATCTTTGATTATTACTGCGTCTGTTTAACTGAAGGTAGTTCTATTCGATGCTCAAGATTTTATATCTGAAATCGGCTTTTTGACATGTGTCACTGAATCGAAAGTTTTTTTCTTCCGCTTTCCATAACAGTTTTTTTTATCAGTTAACTGCAGGAGTTAGGTTAGCAGAATAGAGATTGAAATAATATACGATATTTAATCGGATAATAATACTTAAATTGGCTAAAACGCTATACTTGAATCGTATTCGATTCAAGGTCAGCTTCGGTTTAACTGACTTAACGGTCTGCACTTACCATTTTGTAGGTTTCTCTTCAGGGCAATTCCGTAAATGGGAGGCTTACTGGCCTTCTCATTCAGGGGATATTGATCTCACCTCCTGAAAACGTACTGGATCGGGATTTGGGTACTAGATCAAAGAGGCTAGTAACTGTAGACGATGTTTCAATAGCCTAAACAAGTGTGAGTTCCACATTTTGTGCTAGTGTTAAGCATTGCTTCTGACGGCAAGTCAGCCCTAGTGTTAAGCATTACTTTTGATGGCAAGCTAGTGTGACAAATTAATGTCGTTAGAAATAGTTAAGACGATCGAAAACGAAACGCAACTCAATGCTATCTACAGTATAAAATGATTACAGTTACTTAAGTTTGTATTGGTACCTGAAACAGCTGAAGAATGATTACAGCGAGCCTCACAAAAATAAGCACTCCATAAGCATAGTTTTAACACACCTAAAACGAGTACGTAAGTTTATTTGTTTCTAATTAATTAATCCGTTAACGATCACTAACAGTTCAGTGGTTTTAGCACCTAGAGAACTTCATTCATATATACAAATAATCTAATTACGATCTTTTCTCTTTTATATTTTTTACTTTGTTTTTGACCATGCTTTTGATCTGAGACGACGATCGCAGAAGACCTCGCTTCCTTAGTTGTCTCACCGTGACCCCGCCCACGGCTAACGTCGTCAGGTATCTGAGGGGGGTAGCTACTTTGTAGAAAGCCAAAGCAACAGCCAGTTCGCCGAAGCCCGACACGGTTATATAGTCGAGGTATTTTTCGGGTACCCCCCAGTATTGGAGCAGCGGTATTGGAGATAAGCCCTGAGTTGCCAGGTAGTAGAATGCGCCGAAGTATATTGTGGACGTCACTACATGGACCGGTAACATCAAGTACCAGTATTTTTTAAAGTACTCTTTGAATCTGACGAAAAGTGATTTATTCTTCATGTCGTCATAATCAGGATCCTCTGTGGTCTCTGCGCGCTCGCTTTCTTTAGTAACCTCTTCATTTGACACGCTAGCAGCACCATCTTTCTTCGAAGGTTCGTCACATTTTTTAAAGATGTTCTCACCTGCTGATTGCTTCAAATCTAAATTAGACTGATTTCCAGCTAACTTGTTCCCTCGAAGAACGTCAGCTAATGATAGACACCGCCGTTGAGCAAAATTACCGGTATAATTGTTCTGTGTTGATGAAGTGTTGAGGATGTTGTTATACAGGGGTCGACGCTGAAGAATGGCGTGGCTAACTGTGCTCTCCGCTAACGTCCTTCTGTAATGAAAATTCCTGATGAACGTCCGTGGAATCCCACCGGCGCCATAGATTGACCACACATAATCGCCGCGTTGTACTGTTGGCGCTATGCGAACACATATTACACGGATTCCGGTTTCCATTTTCTTTTTTTGTTTATTCAATACATTTTTTTTACTTCGTTTACATATAATATGTAGCTAAACGTTTATCATAATGAAATGTACAATGAAAACAATGGATCTGAAAGCTCTGAAATATTGTGACATGATTTCTGAGAAAAAGAGAGCCTACACGGATAGCATCGATGTCGTTTATAGGCTCGTGGCGGGAATCAGTTCTTTTGACTTTCGGAGTTGTCGGTATGACCCATACAAGATTCGTCTAACCTTGTGTTTGTAAACAAAGAGTACACGGGTACGAGGAAAGTTATCATAAACGGACGGAAATCGTGCGCGGTGCATTTGGAACTCAATTTTTGACATATTATTTTTGTCGAATGAATCACTTACTAATTAGTTAATTATGACGTACGAGTTTTATCAATCATTTTGCAAAATATTATGTTTCTGAAATTATTTCAGTAAACTTAAGACTATATGTTAAAAATTCGACTAGAGTTATTTTTAAATCGTGTAAACAATGACGTTGCAGGTGCAGTAGGCGACAAAGCAGAACATACACTTACCCCAAAAATAAAAAAAACACGACGTTCACTAAGCTCAAGCAGTTACTTTGGCGAGGTAAATGCGCCATGTTTTTAATCAGTGAACCATTCAGATTAGATACCATAAAAGTTATTTTTTGTCGCAAGCATCATAGCTAATTCAAGCAGACGCCTCTTTCGGCTATGGCTTTTAGAGTGTGTTTGCCCCATACACGCTTCATTCAATTCGATTTTATAATTCTGTGACTTTAAAATAAGACAGCTTAAAACAGCCGATGATCACGAATTATTTGTTTGACTAGTTGCAACAAAGGAAAACGTACAAACGGCTTCTATTGATAGCATAAACATCAAATTAATAAATACTAGAGGGACAGTTTGATACGTGATCTAAACAATGTATATATGATATTCGGTAAAAAAAAATGCTCGACTTATTATGATTTTTATATATAATAACGTCCATTTCAGTATTTCTTGTTCAAATCAATTTTTGGCGCCTTTTATGCACCAACCGCCGACACACCCGGACGCATTCTAGATGGCGCTGCTAGCGTGCCTATATAGGCGTCATAGATGGTGGTTTAGAGTCTTTTATGAATCGGTGTTTGTGCACCGTCGGTCATGAGGGCCAAGTGGCGTAAGAAGCGAATGCGCAGGCTGAAGCGTAAGCGCAGGAAGATGAGGGAAAGGTATAGGAAATTCCAGCAAGATATATCTTACGCAGAGCCTAGCAAATAAGTCTTGTGAAACGCATCGTTGGAATGTTCTTTGTGTGTTGCTGCCACGACGGTAGTTTCAGTGGATTGCGGAAGTGCTAGCTTTTGAAGTGGCTGATGACGGCCATTGCGGTGTGCAACGTGGCGTTTTGCAGTACGCCAGTCCGACAATTTAGTTACATTGAGTCAGAGAAAACTTCATATATGGTATTTTGTTGTTCTATCGTGATGATATTGGTTCATGCACCGCAGAGCAAGTTCAATCTGCTCGATCACTATCGCTTACAACATTCAAACGGTATACAAGCAGCTGCGATTAGGAATAGGCTTAGTGTCCCCATTGTGGCCGTTTGTTGACCATATCTGTTTTCGTTGGTAATTCCGCTATGATGCTCGCGAACACGATCAATATGCTTACACTGAGGTCGAAAATGCACGTAAGTTACGTGAAATCGCGTGAGCGCCCTGAAGGTGGTGATAGGTTGGTCGTAGGCAGGCGACCACGTGCTGCCGTTATATTCGCCGCTCATAGCCTTCTAGAAATCTACATGCATAGTTTTACGGTGTTCACTGGGAATGCTGTTTTGTCTTGGCTGTAGACTTAATCGATGAATTACATTTCGTTTCAGGTCGAAGTAGACGTTATCAGAGTTGCTCCAAATTTGGACTCCAAATGCCTCTTGGAAGAACTGAGGATGCCGGAGACATAGCCGCACCGGAAACGGCCGTATGAAGACTCAAATCGAAGTCAGATGAGGATTTCCATTTTCGGCGACATCAGACTGTATAGAAATAAATACAAGGCTATTTGGGAGCACGGGAAATCCGGTTGTTTTCATTTAGGTGCAATTTCCAGGTATTGGCATTATGAGTGTAACATAGAAAAAGCAACCAAATTAGCAAACAAAGTAAACGTAGAAGTGAGTAGTAAATGTAAGACGCCGAACGTTTTACGCTGAAAAATGTTTGTGAATGTGAGATTGGAAGCATTATGCCAGCTGAAAAACGAAGTTTACGAAAAATACGAAACACTTCGACGGAACCTCTCTTACCGGACTGCTCCAAAATCGTATGAAATACATGAAAACAGATTTTTGCGTTCTCCTATAGATTACTTTTATGCCAACATTTGATTGCTAAAGTCGGTGGTTAATTGTAATCATTCATTAATGTGACATTGATCAAAATGCAAGCTTACCATGACTCTCCACATAAATACTGAATGAATTTCGAGAAAAGATGATTTTTTAGCACTTTTTCGTTGTCGTTGTCGTACTCTTTATTTTTCGATGGCTATTAGTTATTTAAAATCTAATTTTTGCGTTACATTATACACATGTTAGGTCCGGTTGTGTTAGTATACAAATACATCCAGCAAGACTCCCACAGTGTTTGCCTTGGCGGTAGCGACAAAATCATTGTTCACTAGCCAGTCGATCGATGGCAAATACCTTTGCGCTAGTTCTTTCTTTCTTGAGCACTGTACGACCATGACCAGTGTAGGTGTACTTTACCAAATAGCAATTAACTATTATGGCTTACACGTTTATCTGCCCCTATTTTAGTCTATCTCTGACCTCCGTGGCGACTTTTAATGTATTGTTACAGTAGCTGCACTACAACCAGTTCAGGCAAAAATAGAGATCTGTTTGTTTATCAACGCGAATAATTTTTACATGCAATGAATGACATTTGTCTAGAACTATATAGCAGGACGAAATGATGGGGTACGTGGTATTTCTAACTTTTCATGGATTTTCTTCGACGTGATTTCATTTATATGCATAGGCTGCTATACTATGATTACTTTTGTCTGTCCTTTGGGCTAAAAAAGCATTTCAAATTGTTTTTCAGATGCCCAAAAAATAAACGTTCGTGTGATAGCAATTAGACAATAGATAAAAGACGATCTCTAAGCCCGTCACTGTGAAGGAGTATATGCTTTTTTTATAGCCATAATTACTATATTTTGTTTCCATGAAATGATCACTATATCGTTATTAATACATCTAAATAAATACGTTATTATTAATATTACCCATGTTTCTATGATATTCAACGCAACCATATTGTTATCGTATCTTCCGAACAAAAAATTTCAACGGAATCCAGTTCGAAACGAATATTCATGAAAACCACCACATATCAGTAAAAGATGGTGTGAGAACATAATCTATGCTATTCTATTAATAATTACATTAAATTTATCACCATGACAGTTACCTCCAGCTGTATACCTACCCACTTACGTTTATTTATTTAGCTACCCATTTACGTTTAACTGCTTTCATGCTGATGTAAATAATGCAGTTTCCATGAAAGTGTCCGAGCCTTCTAACAAAATTTGCTTCCGATACTGCTGTCGCAAAATGGAAAAAGACGGCCGTAGGAACTGCAATGTGTATAGCAATTCAATTTCTGAAATATATATATATATATATGTGTTTGTATACGATGATATATCAGGTTGATAATGGTTACAACAGAGATGGACTAATTGTATATATATATA